CATCGCCGCAGAAAGAAGACGTAGGTTTCAGCTTATTAGTCTTAGGATCTTTGATTTTGCGATTTTAAGCAGAATAAATTTTTTTTGTCGAAAAAGTAAAAAAAAAATCTAAAATGTTGTTGTTTCTTAGCTTTCATTATTGATTTTTAGGATGAAAGATGATATAATAAAAAACTAAACTTGTTTGATATCTAGTTGCGCTTTAGTTGCGCTTTAGTTGCGCTATAGTTGCGCTTTATTTACGCTTTAGTTGCGCTTTAGTTTTGCTTTAGTTGCGTTATAGTTGCGCTTTAATTACGCTTTACTTGCGTTTTACTTGCCCTTTACTTGCGCTTTACTTGCGCTTTCAGGCTGTATACAAAGATGAAGACAAGAAGCATATGAATTGTTTTGCACTTATGCTCACGATAATGGCTTTAGTGTCCGAAAGGATCATCACAGTTTTTGGCCAAATTCTAGAAAGATAAATCGAAGGACTTTGTTTGTTCAAAAGCTGGTTCAAGAGAAGTGATGATCATAATTCAGGAAAGAGAAAGAGATTCACTAGACCAGTTGTCAGAACTAGTTGTCCAGCCATGGTGAGGTTTGTCACTAATGAAGATGGTTACTGGCATGTCAAAAGATTTATTGAATCCACAACCATGAATTAGCTAGCCAGCCGACCGACACCTTTTAAGATTATGTAGGAATGTTAATTGAGGAAAAAGCTTTCGTCCTAAAATCGATGACAAATGCAGGGATTAGAAACGTTGATTCATATGCCTACCCTTGCAGAGGAAGTTGGTGGATGTGAGAATGTCGGATTCTCTAAGAGGGATGCCTACAATTTGATTCAGAAGGAGAAAAGAAGCAAGGATTGAAATTGGTGACACTAATTCTTTGATTCAATTATTTAAAGATCGACAAGTTGAGGACCACATGTTCGCATGGGATGTTCAATATGATGATCAGGATAGATTGTTTAAATTTTTTCTGGTTGATGGCAGAAGCGGGATAGATTATAAATGTTTTGGAGATGTGTTGATTTTTGATACTAGTTATGTTGAGTCCAGTAATTAGGTGTTAGCCTAAGTAAATGTCCCAAGGCTACCAAGA